TAAAATGGCAACAAGCGTATGTGACACATGCTTGGAGCGTATGTGACACTGTGGAGCGTATGTGACAATTATGTCCCCTGCATGCGTATGTGACCAAAACGTGGAGCGTAGGTGACAGAATCGTGGAATTCATCAGTGCTTATGTTAAGTATAAAATACATAAAATTTTCGTGACATTGATCTTTTTTGTTTCACTATTCTAGTTTATAGAAAGTTTCGACGAGCTGGTCTTCTGTTCAGCGAAGAAAATGAAGGACAAAAATGGAAAACAAGAGGCTTAAGGGCCTTAACGGTCACCTGAGTATAATACAACAATTTAGAGGATCCATAGAGTATAAAATGAACTGAAAGGTGGAGCTTTGTTGCCCAAAAGCAAGAAATATGGGGTGATCAGGATCAACAAAATAATTAATCTAGTATTCATTGACAGTTTTTAAATTAGATTCTATTTATCACTATCATTATACAGTATATTAAAAAACTATTAGTGCTTCTGTACTATTTTAATTTCTTGTTGAAATCTCTCACATTGGCCCCTCTTGGTCTTTGATGAACATTTAATAAGACAAGTTATTTTTGTTCCTTTTTTATTTACCTATAACTTACAAGTCTACCTGATCAGTAAAACTATGAAAATACTTTTTAATAAAAATTCTTGCATAATTCTCTTATACGATTAACCTTTCAAGTACACTGTTTACAGTGATTAATTATCAAAAGTAAACGGCAAAGGGGAATAACTCCTCTCAGTGGAATACAAATTAATAGAGCCCTGGCCAGGACCAGAACACATGACCAAATGGTCAAGATGTTCAAAAATCTGGTAAAAATACCCTTCCTTATTAAAACTTTTGATCTTTTTGCCTCTGATATGCCCAATTGCAGAGAAAATTTTTAAAGAAATAATGCATTTTTAGTACAGATTCACTATATTATCAATAGAGCCTCCCCCCTCCCTGGGGCCATGAAATTCACAATTTTGGAAGAAGCACCATTGCTTATTATAACAATGTACTTACTAGTTTGTTTCAAAAATACCCAGGAGCAGAGAAGATTTTTAAAGCATTAATGCATTTTCACTATATAATAAATAGAGCCCGGACCTAACATCGGAACCCCTGATCCAGGGCTCATGAAATTCACTATTTTGGAAGAGTCACCCTTGCTTATCATAACTCTGTATTCAATTTGTTTCAATAATACCCAGGAGAAAGGGGAGGAGGTTTTCAAAGAAATAATGCACTTTCACTATATGATCTATATAGCCCCGCCCTAGTACCAGAACCCCCTGACCCTGGGGCCATAAATTTCACAATTTTGGTAGAGTCACCCTTGCTCATCTTAACTATGTATTTAATTTGTGTCAATAATACCCAGGAGTAGAGAAGAAGATTTTCAAAGAAATAATGCACTTTCACTATATGATCTATATAGCCCCGCCCTAGTACCAGAACCCCTGACCCTGGGGCCATAAATTTAACAATTTTGGTAGAGTCACCCTTGCTCATCTTAACTATGTATTTAATTTGTTTCAATAATACCCAGGAGTAGAGAAGAAGATTTTCAAAGAAATAATGCACTTTCACTATATGATTTATATAGCCCTGCCCTAGCACCAGAACCCCTGACCCTTGGCCATGAATTTCACAATTTTGGTAGAGTCACCCTTGCTTATCATAACTATGTATTCAATTTGTTTCAATAATACCAAGGAGTAGAGAAGAAGATTTTCAAAGAAATAATGCACTTTCACTATATGATCTATATAGCCCCGCCCTAGTACCAGAACCTCTGACCCTGGGGCTATGAATTTCACAATTTTGGAAGAGGCATCGTTGCTTATCATAACTATGTATTTAATTTGTTTCAATAATACACAGGAGTTGAGAAGATTTTAAAAGAAATAATGTACTTTCACTATATGATCTATATAGCCCCGCCCTAGCACCAGAACCCCTAACCCTGGGGCCATGAATTTCATAATTTTGTTAGAGGGCACAATCCTTATTACAATCATGTCAACAGTTTGACTGCTTGATGTCCAGGAGTAAAGAAGATTTTAAAAGATTGCATTAATTTTGGTGGTTTTAGCCCAACCCTTCAGGCCCCAGGGGGGCAGGGACCATGAAATTCACAATTTCTTTTTTCAATTTTTGTCCCCCTTCACCCATAGATGTTATATGCCAAAACTGGTTGAAATTGATTTGCTGGTTCCAGAGAAGAAGCTGAAAATGTTTAAATGTTAACGCACGATGGACGACGCACGACGACGGACAAAAACGGATAGTAATAGGTCACCTGAGTGACTCAGGTGACCTAAAAATACAGAGAGACAACAATATGGGTAAACAGGTCTGTTATTAACTCTAGATCACGTGACACAGGTCAGTTGACACTGACCATTACCTTGATTTCAGACCTAACACTAGTAAGGATAATCCTCTAACAATAGATTACCAAAGGACACTTAATTTGATATTGGTTTTAACACGAAGTGTAAAAGGTAAAAAGGAAACCCTAGAAAAAACAAAACTCATCACCTATGTACAAATTACTTCAAGGTTTCTTAGAGTAGAGAAGAAGATTTTCAAAGAAATAATGCACTTTCACTATATGATTTATATAGCCCTGCCCTAGCACCAGAACCTCTGACCCTTGGGCCATGAATTTCATAATTTTGGTAGAGTCACCCTTGCTTATCATAACTATGTATTCAATTTGTTTCAGTAATACCCAGGAGTAGAGAAGATTTTCAAAGAAATAATGCACTTTCACTATATGACCTATATAGCCCCCCCCCCCCCAAAGCACCAGAACCCCTAAACCTGGGGCTATGAATTTCACAATTTTGGAAGAGTCATCATTGCTTATCATAACTATGTATTTAATTTGTTTCAATAATACACAGGAGTAGAGAACAAGATTTTCAAAGAAATAATGCACTTTCACTATATGATCTATATACCCCCCCCCCCCCCCCAAGCACCAGAACCTCTGACCCTGGGGCTATGAATTTCACAATTTTGGTAGAGTCACTCTTGCTTATCATAACTATGTATTTAATTTGTTTCAATAATACACAGGAGTAGAGAAGAAGATTTTCAAAGAAATAATGCACTTTCACTATATGCTCTATATAGCCCCGCCCTAGCACCAGAACCCCTGACCCTGGGGCCATGAATTTTACAATTTTGGTAGAGGGCTCAATGCTTATTACAATCATGCCAACAGTTTGACTGCTCGATTTCCAGGAGTAAAGAAGAAGATTTTTAAAGATTGCATTAATTTTGGTGGTTTTAGCCCCACCCCTCAGGCCCCAGGGGGGCAGGGACCATGATATTCACAAATTTTGTTCCCCTTCTCACATAGATGCCATATGCTAAAATTGGCTGAAATTGGTTGAGCGGTTTCAGAGAAGAAGCTGAAAATGTTCAAATGTTAACACACGACGTACGACGACGGACGAAAACAGATAGCAATAGGTCACCTGAGTGACTCAGGTGACCTAATAAGTATGTAAAAAAAGAACACAATTCTGAAAGGCATTCCACTTACTTCAGGTCTTTTTTCAAAGAAAAAAAATGAAATCAAGCTACTTCAAGATGAAAAACCTAAAGAACTTCTGAAAGAAATTACTTCTCAAAATAACACAGTCAAACATAGCAATCTTAAAAAAGGTAAGTAAAGTCCAATTTTACTCTGTTTTAGCCTCCAGACACATTGTCTTTGGGCTCAATCAGTCAATCAATCAAGATGTGTGAAATAAACAAGTAGAATCCTCAGAGCGTCTTATTCTTATTGGACCTGTAACATATACATTAATTTTATATGTGAAATAAAATTGTAAAGTCCAATTTTACTCTGTTTTAGCCTCCAGACACATTGTCTTTGGGCTCAATCAGTCAATCAATCAAGATGTGTGAAATAAACAAGTAGAATCCTCACAGCGTCTTATTCTTATTGGACCTGTAACATATACATTAATTTTATATGTGAAATAAAATTGTCATTATAAAAAAAATATTTAAAATTCACGGGGCCTTGTTATAATTTCTATAGTACCCGCCCATTGCGCACATGCACAGTAAACTCATGACCTTTCACCTGGCGAAATTAGCATTCTGGTTGAATTATCAAGAAATCAACTCACCTAACTTTCAAAGAGTTAACACAGAGAAAACAATTAGTAATGGAAATATTTGTTAGATTCGTTCATTTTATAAAGACATCCTAGACAATTAGGTTAGCTTTTCCTTAATCATTTAAATCTATTCATTGTTTCAGTAATATTTGTTTCATTTTTCAGACTTGACCTTGTATTTCGTGACATCTGGGAATTCTGTAAATTAACAGACCACTCTTACAATATTCTAATCTGAAAATGATGAAAGTACATTCATTTTTAAGCTATTCCCATGCATTTTGGTTATTCGGAAGAAGAACGTTGACTTAACAAGTACGAGTTAGATAGAGAACGAGTTAACACTTACGTTTATTTGGCACAATGCTAATGCAAACATAATATATTCGGTCAGTTAACAGAAATGCGCTCACTAAAGAGGGCTATGGTTGTACTATTCTGGTAATATAAGGTATGAACAGACACCGTTGGGTGTATCAAACAGAATTTATTCCAGACAGGAACATTCAGACATGGCGGGTAAAATACGGAGGTGACAGGGGCAGATAACCCCATTTTGATTATTAGATAAGTCGTACCATTACTAGATAAGTCGTACAACAAACATAGACAGAAGCACATTACATCCCCCTCACTAAAATTAAAGACAGTTTTTGGTCATTTAACATACAGATACAGAATGTAAAAATTTTTCAATTTTTTCAACTGTTTATGGCAAGAGTCTGGATTTTGTTTCAAACACTCAAAATAAACAAAAATAATAATAACACTAAGTAATATAGCAGAACTTGTGTTCTGGCAGCTGCACGGGGATTATTATGCCCCAAAGCACAGTGCAAACCGATGACTAGACATGCAACTAATACCAAAAGTCACTAACAGAATTATTTACAAGCACTTCACAAGTCAAGTTTTTCTGGAGGTTTAACAATTCGTCCAGATCTGGTTTGGAGTGCGTTTTGTGATTGGCGGGTTTGTCGCTGACTTCAGGTGTAGCAGTATTTTCTATGGTAGGCTCATTGGGACCGCTGTCTTCCATGGGCATGTCCTGTTCATCCACTTCATCCTGGGGATTTTCACTTGATTTGTGGAGGTGAACACGATTTCTGCGATAAAGTCTCCCTTTGCTTTTCACTAAATAAGATCTTGATTTGTCTGTTTTCTCTACGACAATTCCTGGGGATAGGGACTTAGAACCAGGTGTTTCCATTCTGACTGTTGTTCCATTGTCTAGGGGTGATAACTCCTTCACATTTCTTCTCCTGTCATAGTAAAGTTTCTGCTTGGCTTTCTGGGCATTTAGGTGTTGCTTTACCTTTCTGAGGTCGTGTGTTGCTGGTTTAAGTATATCATATGATGCTGGAAGCGTCTTTCTAGGTCTGCGTCCCATTAATAGTTGAGCTGGTGACAGATTAATGTTTTCTAGAGGAGTTGTTCTGTAATCTAGAAGAGCAAGCTGCTTGTCGACACACTTTGTCCATAGGCTTTTTATAGTTTGTACTGCTCTTTCAGCCTCGCCATTCGAGCTTTGAAAATGGGGGCTGCTTCTTTCATGTTCAATTCCAAGCTCTGTGCAGTTTTTGAAGTTAGCTGAGCTGAATTGTGGTCCATTGTCAGACCTGAGTTTCTCTGGAAGTCCATGGCATGCGAAAAAAGTTTTCATGGCTTTGATTATTGCTGTAGTTGTCTCTGATCCGAGTTCTACGGCATCAATGTATTTTTAATAGTAATCCACCAGAATCAGGTACTTCTTGCCTCTGAATTCAAATACATCAGCTCCAACATGAGTGTATGGAAGATCTGGATTGGCATAAGAGGTTCTCTGTTTTGCTGTTTCTGATACTCTACAAGGACGAACAATTATTTACAGCCTGTTCTATGTCGGCATTCATCGCAAGCCAATACATGACCTCTCTGGCGCGACTCTTTGACTTGACTATTCCAAGGTGAGACTTGTGTATAAGGTTAAGCATCTCTTTCCGCAAGCTGGGTGGGATGACTATTCGACTGCCCTTGTACACAATGCTGTGAAGAACGGATAACTGATCCCTTGAGTCAAAGTACTGTCTGACTTCAAATGGAGATTCATTCTTTGTGTCTGGCCATCCTGTTTGAATGGTGCTCATGAGAGTCTCAAGTTCACTTCTTGTTGATCTCTGGATTTCGGAGTATTTTTCAGGTGTTATGGATAACATACAGATCATGTCTTCTTTCTCAGTCTCATCTTCACCACTTTCCGCTAGGTAAGCCCTTGACAGAGTGTCTGAAATGTACATCGTAGTTCCCTTCCTGTATCTGACGGTGATGTCATACCACTGCAGTTTTATCATCATCCTTTGGATCCTCATAGGAGCTGACAGTAAAGGTTTGTTGAACAAAGTTTCTAAGGGCTTATGATCACTGTACACTGTGACCTCCTTTCCGAAAATGTCGTTGTGAAATTTTTGACAACTGTATACTATAGCTTGCATTTCTTTCTCAATTTGAGCGTATCATTTCTCAGAGTCTGTAAGAGCTCTAGAACCATAAGCTACTGTGCGGCCTTCCTGTATCAAAACCGCTCCAAGTCCGTCTTTGCTCGAATCGCATTCGATTTCGACCGGTTTGTTCACATCAAATATAGCTAATACTGATGGCTTGGTACACACGTCTTTAAGTCTCTGGAAACTTTCATCCTGTTCGTGGTTCCATTGAAATTCCACATCAGACTTGAGAAGGATTCTTAGAGGAGCATCCAAATCACTCAGGTTTGGAATAAATTTCGACAAGTACTGGACAAGTCCAAGGAACCTGCGTACACCTTCCTTGTCATGTGGAGCCGGCATGTTTAGTATGATTTTGTCTGGGTCTGCTTTGAGTCCCTGGTCCGACACTATATGGCCCATGTATGGCACACTAGATTTACGAATCTTGCATTTTTCAAAGTTCAGTTTCAGATTGTAGTTTGTTGCCCGTTCCACAACTTTTCTAAGTATGACATCATGTTCCTCGAGTGTTTCACCTGCAATGAGGATGTCATCTATGATTGCAGACGCACCTTTGATTCCGGATATCATGTTGTCCATGATCTTCTGGTAGATTTCTGGTGCAGATTTTATGCCGAAGGGTAGGCGGAGCCAACGATATCTTCCTATCGGCGTGTTAAATGTTGTCAGGTACGAGGACTTCTCATTGAGCCGAATCTGCAAAAATCCTGATTTGGCATCCAATACTGAGAATATCTTGGCTTTCGGTATGTCAGATACGACATCTTCAATAGTCTTCATAGGATGATGCTCCCGTTTTATGGCACGATTCAGATCTCTTGGGTCTATACAGATGCGTATCTTTTCTCCCTTTACACTCACTACCATTGAGCTGACCCACTCTGTTGGCCTGTCCACTTTCGTGATGTATCCATTAGTTTCCATCTCTCTCAGCTTGTCAACTGCTCTGGGCTTGATTGCTGCTGGAAGTTTCCTTACAGGATGAATAACTGCTGGTACAGATTCGTCTATACTGAGGTGGTACTCTCCGGGTAGTGTTCCTGTAGTTTCTATGAGTTCTAGATAGTCTCTGGATAGTTTACTTTGTGCACTTTCTATAGTCTCAGTCACAGCTGATATCCTAGTCTGCGAATCAGGGTCAGCTTTGTATATCAATCCAAGAGCGACTGCAGTATCACCACTGATGATATTCTCTTGATCTAAGTCGACCACTTCAAAGTGAACATTAGTCTCACGATCACAGTAGACAACCGGAAGAGTTACTGATCCCACTGGTTTGATCTTATGATTGCTGAATGACTTAAGAGTCTTGTTAGAATTCTCCAGTTTGCATCCTCCCAAGTTTCTAATTTGAGCAGATGTGAGTATGTTAGTCCGTGCTCCAGTGTCTATCCTGCAGCGAACCTGCTGATCTTTGATACCGAGATGAACATCCCAGTTGTCATCCTGAGCAGACTTGGCGGAAGTACACATACTAATGGTAAGTAGTTCTTCTCCCTCTGACTCTGTATCTCCCTGTACTGTGCTGACTTTGACCTGTTTCAGCCGACGACTACACACTTTCTTCCGGTGGTTTCGCTGTTTACAGTAACTGCATATGGTTCCTAGTGCTGGGCACTTTCCACGTTCGTGTTCCAGACCACAACTTGAACAATTTGGGTTGTCGATTTGTTTAGAGTGTTTTGGTTTTCCGGTTTTAACACTTTTGTTGCGTGCCGCATTGATCTTGGTAGGGTGTTTCTTATGCGAATGAGAGTCTATTTTCAGCACTTCCTCTCCTCTCATTGATTTGAATTGTGCTTGTGACAGCTCAAACTGTTGTCCAATTTCTATGGCTTTCTTAAGTGTGATATCCTGGCCTTGTTCTAACAACCTCTCTTGCACTGTCTTATGTCTGACGCCACTAATGATCAAGTCAATCAAAACATCATCATTATCCGCGTAATCACAGTCCATAGCTAAGATTTTGAGATCCTTAACAAAATTATTAAAAGTTTCGACCTCTTTTTGTGTTCTTTGATGAAGCCTGAATCTTGCCATTCGCTTGTTTTTCTTGGGGCGAACGTAGTTTTCTAATTTCTCCAGAATTTTCTTTGGATCGTCTTCATCGTCATTTTCAAACACAAAAGTTTTGTACACTTCCTTACCTTCTTGTCCAATCCCCATGCCGATCCATCCTGCCTTATGTTTGGCATCGGATTTCGCGAGTGGCCCTTTGAAGATGAAACCCACGTGTTGCTTGAACCGACAAAATTCCTGGTACAGATCTCCGGTTTGCCAGTCGAATCTAGGCTGATCGAACGGAAGCGTTGTCATTTTGAGTTTCTTCTGACACCATGTACTATTCTGGTAATATAAGGTATGAACAGACACCGTTGGGCGTATCAAACAGCATTTATTCCAGACAGGAACATTCAGACATGGCGGGTAAAATACAGAGATGACAGGGGCAGATAACCCTATTTTCATTATTAGATAAGTCGTACCATTACTAGATAAGTCGTACAACAAACATAGACAGAAGTACATTACAATGGGTTTTCTTCTTTCCTCTACAATTCGAGGAATTTTTAAAATTGTATTGGTTTTCAAAAGGAGGCAACAAATTGTTAATTTCCTCAGTAAAATCAACTACCACACTTTTTCATTACCAATGTTCATCTCTGGTGTCAAGTTTGCTGTGCATCTAGTGTGGTCAGGACAGATAACTTGTGTTATATATCTATCAAAATAGAATGATTCTTACAAAGGGTAAGATGGCCTCATACCCGAACACGGTCATATCAGTCTGGACTCTGCAGCGTCAGATCAAAGAAAGGCGCTAAAAAGTAGGTGACATGTAATCACGTGTCACAGGAAGTAGAACTCTTTAATAGATAAATCAACAAAGTTAATAGCCAACTTGGCTTAAAGCAGTAAACTGCCTCCAGTTATGATTGTCAACCCAGGTAAGGAGATATCTGAACTATGATCAACGCTAAATGAAAACACAGTTGTAAGTTTTATAAATTTAATAAAGTGAGAATTAACCTTTGTAAATGATAACAAATTAATAAATAATAATCAAAATTTAACAAACAGAAAAGTCTTTGAAAATTGCACAGGATTAATAGGGCTTTATCAAAAATGTAATTTAATCTGGTAGGTGATTCACAATAATCTCAATTAATAATCTCAATAAATAAATAATTGAAAAATGTAATAGAAAATGGGAGGAATGTGGAAAAAAACTATGAAAAATAATTTATGTCCCTACTGGGCTTCCATACTTATGAAAGTTGTCAAAAATCCTATAAAATGAATGAATTGGAAAAGTGTAAAAGGAATTAGCTACATCACCCATATGACTACTATCAACACTCTAGAGTTGAACTGAAAATATCAATGCTAATTCTAGGTTCTAAAAATAACTGACCCAGAAAATAAACAACACCCCAAAATAAATTATAAATAGTGGTTCTAGAAAATAAACCTGTTATCTACATATCCCTAGACCAGGCAGGACTTGGTAAGGGAAACTTAATTTACTTTAAATAACCTACATCCTAACCTATCATATAACTTTATTCTATAAAACCTACATCCTAACCTATCATAAAGTGCTCGCTCAGCACGTGCTAAATGAAACCTATAATGGCGTGTACCTTGAGGTTGGCATAAAATCAGAGATAATGAGCCATGAGGCTTATCCCTAACCAAGTGAAGTAAACTGCTCGAACACGGGTTTAAATACCCTAGCAAGGCCTAAAATAAAAACCAATGACTATCAAAGATCCTAAAGCTAAGTTAACCAATCAGAACACAGCTATCAAAAGTACTACGGAAAGACTGCCAACATGGATGATACTTCCTGTTTAAAAAGTAAAACATGTGGAATGTCAACTCATGTCCTAACTTATAAACGACAAATAATAAAGGGGTTTTACGTAAGTAACAACTGAAAACAAATCATAAATAGAATAATTTGACTGAAATATCCGCAAATACTTGTAAAATATTATTTACGAAACGATGGCTATGAAATAAAAATCTTAACCACTACATTCCTCCCCCCTTAAAAAAATAAAATTTACAATAAAATTTCGTTTTCAAATATGATATATATTAAATGAACAAAGTTAATGTTTCTATCCCCCAGGAGGAAACCTCTCATCCCTAGGGTTGGAGTTGTCTGGAAGTGTGAACAAAGGTTCCTGTGAAGAACGTTTCCTTGCGCTTGCAGCTAGGTCCCTAGCCTGCTTGTGAATGGTTGGTAGCGGCATCAGGTAGCCCTTGGGGTCGACATATCGCGGGTTGGAAGTGTAACGCTTCCTAACACAAAACTGAAGATCCTTATGATCCTGATGGATATGACGATACATGTCATTGCACTTGTAGAAAATTTGACAACAAATAAACTTGGACAGTCATACATGGCGCACACGTCCTTATGAAAACTCAAATAATGGGCTCTGTAACTTCCAAGTTTACGGAACAAATGAGGGCGAGACGGACAGTTCTGTACCGGGCATAGCTGACCTGCCTCAGGCCACACAGTAGCCACTGCCTCCTCAGCTTCAAACTTTTGTAGTTCCAAAGGGTCCACGCTTATATCTAAAGTATCCATCTGTTAATTTTGGAGAAAATTGTAAAACAAAGATTAGAAAAGTATTAAAGCAGATTAATCACCATCAATGCAAGTTTTGAAGTCAATTTATCTCTATGAAAAATAACTTTTAAAATTAAAATCTTAAATTCTAAGACTTAATTTAAATAATGTCTGAATGTATGGAAAGTTAATCAATATAGTTATCTACCAAATTCAGAATCCACTGAATAAAAACCCAAAAATGTTATCAAGTAGCGCGCAAATACTTATAACATAACCTAAACAAGGGATGACCATGCATCACCTCCCATAGATAAACTATAAGAAAAACGTAAGTGTTGATTTCAGCACAGTACAAGGGAGATAATTTAAAGATCATCTACGGTCAGTATTAAACTATGAATACCAAGCTTTCAATGATTCATATCTATTATTACTGTTACTGA